ATATATGTGAATTCCGAGGCGAAACAATTAAAAAAATGCATGTTTATTAATTTCACTTACAAAGAAGGTACGGAAAACGGACCAATATTATCGGCAACTACAAGATAAAGTCGATTAGCACGAACAAAGAAGCTAGCGTCCATAGGATATCCCTTATGACGAATAGTCTGCCGATATTTTAATTGCAAATTATCAAATGTGTAGATATTGCACGAGCCGCTTTCATAACAAATTAGTAGATAAAACACACCTTTCCAAATGATGTTCTATAGCATATCAATTGAAACAGTTCAATGTTAAATGTGACTTTAAGTAATTGCGATTAGTGATTAATTTACCTACTCTTACGAATTTAACAGAGTTATTAAGAGATGGGATTATCCCTGGCAATGAAGTATGATTAGAAGATGAATCACCAAGAGAAAATGCTACGAAATGATTCGTTTCTATCAGAAATATTTTGTCATACATATTCAGTATGAAAGGTCGATCTTTATAGATCTCTCCTAACCACCTAGATTTTCTTTGGTTCCATTTTACATGGTACGTTCTTCTTTGAACTACAATTATCATATCGTAAAGTTGCTTTAATAAAAATATCTGGCTATAAATATTTAATTTGTTTATTAATTCCTTTTTACCTGGTGGTTCGTCCCGAAAATACAGCTTCGCTATTTCAATTTTCGTCTGCCTTAATTTTTCGTCAAAATAATCGACCGATGAAATGTACGCGAAAATAAAACTGACGTAACCAAAGAGAAGCTGTTGAGGTAATATAAAAATGTAATCATTTCAATGTATAGCATTAAATTTAAGTTTGAAAAGTTAAATTTGATTTTCGAGCTTCGAATTCGAATTTTTCGTTTCGAATTGCACTTACCAGAATCCTTAAGGATTCCATGATCCTTCGAACAATTGATAACGCGGATTCATCCACTTATGAGAGCTTATTGTACTAATTGATCGGGAAAGATCGACAATTACGGGTCGTCAACTGGATACACATGCAAACAGCTACGCCTATATCAAATATAAACAAGTAACGACTATTACTAAATTCAAATCATTCATAATCAGAAATGGAACTGCGCAATTGAATACGAACGACGAGCGATATTTTTGTTGAGAAACATAACAATAACATAATAATGCATATTAAGAACAATTCATATAAAATCAAAAGTCAAATCAAATCTTAATTATAATTGAAATTTCAAGTTCTACGACCATGAAAAAGATCGTATTCTAGGGATTGAAAAATTGTGAGAAAGATTGAAAATACAGCGAGATGAAACTTACACTGAAATTAGTCTGGGTTAAACTTATTCTAAAATTAGTCTGGGTTAACGATTTTATGGTTTGTTATTCTTTCTATCGTATTTATTGTAATACATATTATATTATATTACTTATAATCTTGATATCAATATGTATGTATGTACACGTACATATATATATATATATATATATATATATATAT